CTTTTTAATATTTTCATTTTCCATCACTTTTTCTTTAGATACAGGGCAGGGCAAGCACTTGCTGTCAATATGATGTTTAACACTTCCTATGTTTTTATTTCAGTCATTTTAAAAACATGCTAGTAAACATCCAAACATATTGTAAAGATTTAAAATTCAGGGTGTGGATACATATGTATATATTAACAGGAGTTATGAATTATGTATATCCCAAGCCTATATAAATTAGATTTTGAAGAACAAGCATTACAGTAGCCAGGCAGGTCAAATGTAAAAACTACCTTGAATAAATTATCTATAAGTTAACATTCTCATTAGAATGACATATTTATTATTTCTGGGCTTGTGATGTTGCTTGAATGAATTTTGGCTAACTGTTCTAATGGCACGTTCAGAAACCATTTTAGGCCTTTTTCCTCTTTTGGAATTTGCAGACTCTTATTTACATTTGAATTCAAATAATACTAAAAACAATCACTCACTTCCCTATATAAAATACCATTTATTTCTGCCCAGAAACATTTAATTAAAGCTGGATATAACTTTAGTAATTATTTTTGTACAGAATGACTCTAAAATTAATAGTCAATTGTAAGACTGTTTAAAAATTGGGAGACTGACAATCAAAACAATCTTAAATGCTTTATTTATGTGATGAAAAGGAGTGATCCTCTAATTCCCTCACACACATTAAACTGATTTCACAGACTTTCTGTGCTGGTGTTTAACATAGTCAAGTGCTCGAGGTTATGTAAAATAAACAATCTTGATATCTTATTGCAAATGTTTGCAATTTGTGATGTAAACTGATTTGTGAAGAAAAAACAGGATCCTATGTCGTTAAAGCCAAAAAGGCATTTTTCAGAAATCAAAATAGTTCTGAAACTTGAGCATTGCGTTATACTAAAGTATTACCATCTGAGGATCTAAAAAGTTATAAATCTGGGGGAAAACTCAGAATAGATATTGTATATCAGTTCAGCTACAAGCAAAGGCCTCCTATCTTTGAGGATATCTTGTATGTATCATAGGCTAATGATGTCTCGAATAATCTCTTTTAATGCAGTTGTCCCCTGTCAAGGATTTTGTAATTCAGGGAGGTCTTGCACGTCCAGAAAGATTGAGTGGTTGGGAATAGGAATCCTTTATTAATTATTTATTAGGATTGTTGAGTTTTCGACCAAAACAACACGCAAGTTGGACCTTAATTAAATTTAAAGTGAAGATTTTCTTGGACATCTCCGGATGGCTTGGTGAACTCAGGGTTTGAACTTGTTTTTTTGCACAACGAGGGAGGCGACTGTCCAAAAGTTTGGGCCCCGGAGCTCTTGGAAAGGGAGCCCGGCGTGATCTTGCGTTGGAGGCCGAGGCCCCAAAGGATCGAAGAGATTGGCTTATGAGGTCCGGGAACCTTAGGGCAGAGCGGACGCTGTAGGAGGCAAGGGCGCTGCCGGGATCATCCTTGGCGCGCTGGGCCCAGAGGCCGAGTCCCGCTCGAGTTGTGCTTACTCGGCCCAGAAACTTGGACTTTTCTCGCCGGCCTTGGCTGCCTCTACTGGCCCCACTTCCTATAGCGCTCCCGCAGGGGTCTGGGCCGGGCGCGACCTCCGCCAGGGTCCCTGCTGGGCCCATTCAGTCCTGTGCCCAGGGACAGTCCCCGCGGACCTAGGCCGGGTGGCGCGCCCCTGTACAGACGCCGAGAGCCTCGGCCCACTGCGCCCGGACGCACAGCCTCCTTTGACCTCCGGCTTCCCACGAACTCAGCCGCTGGGGATAGGCTGGGCCCAGGACCGAAATGCCATCTTCCCTGGCCCAGGTTTCCCTCCCGTGACCTCCGACCTCCCTCAGGAACCCGGGGAAGGGTCTGAGCCCGAGTTGGGGTTGGGGTAGGCTTGGGGCCTGGAGCCTGCGGGGACTGACCCCTGTCCGGGGCTCATGCTTCTAGGCACATCACGCCCCCCGGCAGATTTCTATTATAAACACTGCAGGGACGTTTTTAACCGGGAGTCCCGCAAGACCTGCGCCTCGAGTACCGCCAAGTCCTGTTCAGTGGTCTCTAAAAATTAACAGAAAGATGGAAACCTATCTGCCAATGTCTAGGCTGAGGAACAGCTTTGAACGCCAACTCAGACCCGGAAAGGGCCGGGAGTGGGGCGAGGGGCACTGCTGGAGGGTGCGGGGCTTTGTAGGGGGCTCTACAAGCCCGCCAGCCCGCGATGAGGCCACAGGGGACCCCCAGGACACCCTCCGTCTTCGAGGGGGTCCCCCGTCCCAGCGCAGGATGGGAAGGTCCTGTCTCAGACCTGGCCAGGGCCCACTTTCACGGTCTCCACCCACTCCAAAACAAGCAGTACCTTTGGACTTTCCTCGTGGTTTCCCCCCCACCCCAGAAGGAAAGGGCCAAGAGGAGGGAGAGAAAGAGTCCTCGATATTCCTGAGGACAGCTAAGACCCGGCTTTTCCTAAACACAGTCCTGCTTCCCCCTTCTCCACGTAACCAATGAAGAAGCTCCATCGGCCAAAGCGCTGAACTAGAGTGAGAGGTGGGGAATCCCGCGCCACCCTGCTCGCTCCCGCCCCGCGGGTCCTCGCTCGCTGTCCAGCCAGCGCCTGACCTGCTCTAGAGAGGGTCAGCGACTAGGAGCGACTGTGGATCACGCCGTACCAACCCCTAAAAGATTCCGCACCAAGTGACCCCTCCTTCTGTCCTCCCACAATGTCCCCAAAATAAACTTGAAGGGTGAAAGTATAGGGAAATGAAGGAGAGTCCCTCTGGGGGAAAGAGGTTATTCTATCCTATCCCACGTTATTTTACTTATTACCTGTTCCTTTATCCGTTTGGCATAATCGGATTCTATCCTAGGCGGATAAAAAGAGAGGGGTAAAAGAAGCTCAGTGTTAGCGAGAGACGTAGCCAGCCACAGTCACCCTTCTTAATACCCCTTGGATAGGGTACATAAGAGTACAGCCAACTTTTCTAAGTATACATAAGTGGGCAGGTAGATAGACAGATAGACATTAACCAAAAAGGAACAGGGAAAGAATATCCCGGATATTTTAATAGTAACAGGAACAAAGATGACGCGAACCCCATCAAATGAAACAATACTATTTTCATTCAACTGATCTCAAAGTGTCTTCAATTAATAACTTGGCACTTATTTAAAAGGTTTAACAGAGGTGGAGCCAAAACATTTTGTACTGACAACACGTCATGAGATAACATCTTTTGTTTAAAATAACTTAATACACTAGAAAAAATATGGCAAATATAAATAATTTTGTTTTCATGGAGAACAAATAGTTACAAAGCTCAACCACATATCAAAGTTCAGTTAGAAGAGCTTTTCCTCTTTCTTGTAAACTAGAAGGATTAAAACCAAAAAAACTAAGGAGGCTGGCTAGTGAATTGGGATACAGATTGTTTAGTCCAGCAGTATCCCAGTTTAAATAGCTACTTGAAACAAACAACCAAAGAAAGATTACGTGAAAAGATACACCTATGTGAGATAAAATGCAAATTTGAAAGTCAACCATCAGTTCACACATTATAGCCAAAATAAAACTTTGTTCGTGTATATCAACATATTTTATACAAACCTAGTGCCTGTATCTAGCTGGGTGTTGTTTAAGGTGAAGTGGATGGGATAGAGAGGGGAAAATAAAGCACAGTCCTTAGATTGGACTTCAGGAAACCAGCAAGAGGGATACAAGAAAAGGGGAGTGGCGTGAACTAACACTGGCTGAGTGCCCACTACGTGTCCAGCACCAGGCCAGGCGCTGTCTCTCCATTATTTCATTGGGTCATCTCGTTATCATTTTCCTTTCCCCATATTTTCTGCCTGCTTCTGTCTTCTTAGGACAGAGTGTACATGTTTTTCCTTTCTGACTTTTTTCTTTTGTTCCCCAGAATCAAAGACAGGGCAAAAAATATACGTGGATATACATCAATTTCCAGACGCTTTTCGTATTGTTTTTCACACTGAAGATGAAAGTGGAGTGCACGAGATTAGAGCGGGAATGTGGGAGACATCATCAAAGGAATACAAGGAACATGCAAACCAGAATTTAGGGTCAGCAGTCCGGACAGTTCTGCCATAATAATTTATCAGAGAAATTGTCTGTGGCATTTTTGTGGGTTATTTTTTCTCTCCTCGTTTTTACACTGTCTTCCCTCCTCTTGCTCTTCCATACAGGGTGGGTTTAAACTCAAAGCATCTGATTCAACGTAAAAGGAGGCCCGCCTCTCTTATCAAATGTCTCATATTAACGTGAACTTCGCAGAAAAAGGTCAGTTTCAAAACCTGTGAACTTCCCAGCTGCGCACCTTTTTCATCTTAGTTTTTTTAAATAAGTATACCTCTTCCTTCTGTTTTGCCTTCTTAGCCCATTAAAAAAAGAAACCCATACATTTAACTTGGTAACACTCCCCCGACCCCATTCTCTCAAGATTCGTCTGGGTTATTTTTCTGTATTTTTAAATGTATAAAATACTTTAATTTTTAACTTTTTTTTACTCCTTGACGCTTTCTCCGATTTCAGCTTCTGTCAAATAGCAATAAGAAATATGTTCCCTTTCACCGTTTCTGTCTGGTTTGTCTTTTCTAGTTTTTAGATTTTTTTTTTCTCATTTTTATTGTTAACAAGATTATTTCTATGCAAGAGTCCACCGTTGCAGCTATCTGGCGAGCCACACTTCGCGGTTCCAGCACTCCCTTGTCCAGTCTCTTTCCAGATTTCCCCAAACTCGCTCCTACAAAACCGAATTCTAGGGTCTTGGGTAGGAGAACCAGCAGAAGCCACTGAGCTGGTGCGCCTCGGGGGATTCCGGATCCCGCGTGGAGTCCGGCTCTCCCAGTCCGGGGTGCCAAGGAGACAAGAGGCGGAAAGAGAGCCGAGGGCCGGCTCCGAAGGTCCGAAGAGGGGAACAGAGAAGCAGCGGGCGCGGAGAGCGTGCAGGCTGAGCGCTGCGGGGTGGCGCGACATTAGCATTGGCGTTGGCGTCACAGACCCAGGGCGGCCGCGTGCTTTTTGGCTTTCAGTCTGAGATCCGCGATGCTGGAGTTCTTGCTGGTGGTCTTAGCAGCGGCGGCGGCCGCCACAACCGAGGCGGCGGAGGCAGAGTCCGCGGCCAACGTGGCAAGCGGCAGTCCGAAGGGCGGCGCTGGGAACATCATGTATGGCGCGTGCGCGGCCAGGTGTGGGTGCAGGTGGTGGTGCGCGTGCGCCACAGCGCTGTCCAGCTGCAGCTGCGCCTGAACCTGAAAGGACAAGGGCGTCACGTTGCAATGACTATCCTAGGGTGACAACAGAATAGAAACAGAGCATTAACGGCGTCCAGCTTGGCTCCAAGGAAGATTGGGTTGGGATAGGGGACGGGGAGGGGACGTTTGGCTGCATAACTAGTTCCGAGAGTGACTTTCTCAGCCTGTTACTTAATCTTACAGTGTCACACAGATACTCCAGCACCTGGGCTTATTTCCCTGTAACTCCAGGACCCCTGTCTGCAGCATAAGGCTCTTCCTCAAGAGCTGGGCTGAAAAGGTATATTGGAAAAACTGGCGCTAAAGGCCATCACCTGATCTCCTGCTGCTGCTAGTCACTTCTTACCCCATTTCTAAAACATCCCAGTACCAAGAGAACTACAAAACTTTTTTTTATGTCACTTAGGGAAGTTATCGCATCTTCACCACAACTGGCACAACTGTGCATCAGTACTTCTAAACTTCATGGCCACTGAATTACCTGGGAATCTTGTTAAAATGTGGATTCTGATTCATAAGGTCTAGGTTGGGGCCTGAGATTCTGAATTTCTAACAATCTCACAGGTGGGACTGCTGCTGGCTGGAGGATCACTTCTGAGTATAAAGTCTCCTTTTAAGATCCCTCATCCCTCTTTCTTCAATCATCTTCTCTTATTTCGAAAGTCCAGCATCAGGATATCAGAGTCAATGGCACCAACAGAGCTAAGCTCTCCCTAACATTAACTCTCAATACAAGGGAAGACCAGGTGTCTCCCTAGTTCAGGGGGCTAGACTCTGAGAGCTAATCCATGACATCATAGTCATGCCAAGTAGGAGTCTTGTCTGGCTGAGGATAGGGTAGGTCAGTTGCTGGTCGGGAAAGCCCCCAGGTTTGGAGAGCAGAGAGTTCAAAGTACTAGAATTTCCTAGGAGTTAATCATTGCTGGAGGCTGTCCTTTTAAAATGTTCTCTTAGAGGTATCTTTATGGCTAAGAAAGGGATTGCAGAGGCAGAGTGGTTTTAAGAAGATCAAAAATTCCCTATCTACTTGAGATAAAGCTTTGTTTTCAGAGACAGCTTTAAAAAAAAAAGCATGAATTGAGGGAACTTGTATTTATTTTTCTTTTGTCAGAGACATTTAATGTGACTAAGAGGTATAAAATACCTAGAAAAATATGTAGATGGTTGTCTTAGAAGTATCTTAAGACTAACCTCTGTATTGGATTTGACAAAATCTTAATCAAAAGGCTTTTTCTGTCTTGCTCCATGTGCAATCTTTAACTCATTTTTAAAGAAGCAGTTATTGCCCTTGGGGTTCTGGGGGTTCCCACGAGGACAGAAGGGACTAAGCATTCAGGCCCTTGACATCATATATGTTTTTAAAGGGGAGTGGGTACACTATATCATCTCAAAATTGATTCTCCAACTGCACAGACACCAACATCTGGACTCAGAGACAAGTAAGGTTCAACAGTTCAAGCAAACATGTTTTTATATTTAAAAACAATTGGAAAGTAGGCTGTACTTGCCTGCTGAAATGGCATCCTTAAAGCACCTACATTGACATAGGGTGCAACTCTACAAGCTTCAAATTGGCTGGCGGCCCCTATGAGGACACCTGTTAAAAATAAGGAAACAGAATACCCCTGTTTAAGCTTAATATTTTTAACATTGTTTTCCAGGGTTCCAAATGGCATAAGATAGAACTAATTCCTTTGAAAATGGACTGTTATCTTTCTAAACTGCTGCCATAATTTACTTTAAACTGCCAGACTTTAATACTCTCAGTAACTGCTTTTGGAGAAGATTCTTAAATCAAGGATCACTGTCATCTTTGAGATTTTTTTTTCTGTTGTTACATAACAGTTTTCTACCTCTCTTTTAACTTAATATATAAAATGTTCCTTGTATGAGAAGCATACCTTTATGTAGCTGATTTTCTTGTTTTCTACATTTAGCTCTTCGATTTTGAAACCAAACCTACAAGTTGGAGAGGAAAAATATAAAACCTAGATGTTATGGCTCAAAAATATATTTTTTTAAATTACAAAAGTACAAAGAGAAAAGAATAGTGGTATAGGCAAAAATTTGTAGATATAGCAAGCAATCCTTGAATTATAGAAAACAGCCTCAATTTCTAAAGTTAAAAATGTAAATGAACTAGAAAAATAGATTTCATGAAGTTTTCAAGATAAATTGTTTCTTAACAAATTACTATTAGTCCTAGTTTTATCTTTTCACATAACAAGAGTCCCAAAGGCCTAAAACTCTCCCTGGTACCTGATACCAACCTCAGAATGCATTTAGATGTTTGCCTGGTTAAGACCTGAGAAGAACGTGGTCATTAATAGTCTGTAATAGTAATTAGCTTCATCCTAAAGAAAAACCAAACACCAAAGCAAATAATGATGGGGGTGGTGGTGGTGGGGTTGGAGTTTTAAGGGTGGAGAAAGATAATTAGTGTCATAAAAGCCTCACTACAAAGAAGTTGAGAGTTTAGAATTTCTCTGTTCCCCTGTGCAGCAGAGTGTAACACAGTAGCAGAATAATTGTGTGCTATTATCATGATAATCTAATTTGCTTCTATAGAAAAAGCTACTGCTTGCAGTTAGGATAGTAGGGAAACATCTAGAAAATAGTACTAAAACTTAAACAAATATATTAAGAGAATAAAGAACAACAATAAAGTTTACTTCTTAAAAAAAAAAAAAGAACACTCCATAAAAGAGAGTAGGATATGAATCAAGTAACTCCTAGATACTATCTTCTTCAGGATGTTATTTTATTAAAATAAACTTGCCAACTTTTACAGGCAGTATAACAGGTTTTTAAAAATTAAAATAAACCTTGCTTTCATACTCCAGTTCCAATAATACAGCATATTGATTGATTCACAAATTAATGTTTTTAAAAACGCATGAAAGTAAAATATTGCTTCAGAGGTTTTTACTGGTACGTTTTTGAAGTCAAGTGTCACAGTTAATGTAAATCTTCAAAAATTCCCCTGCTATTTAGTATAATAGAAGGGTGGATTTCATGCCAGGGTGGCATCCTTTGTGTAATTCACATGGCCTGAGGCTTTTTGCCTCTTTTTTCCCCTAGAAGAGTTGAAATTGAGATACTAATAATCATACTGTAATAATTATCATCATGTTTTTAAAGGGTTGCTGAGCCTCTAGAGATCTCAGGGCACACAGTAAAAAGCAAGAAAGGCTTAAAAAGGAAGGCTCTGCTGATGCTGTGATGACCAAGACGGCCTATTATTACTTTTCCCCTACAACGTGACTGCTCTGGTTTTTTCCTGATCCTATTACAAGATTGGGGAAGCCCCATAAGAATTGTGCATAGTTCGCTACAGATGGTGGTCTCTGTGCCCAGAGACCCGAGGAGTATCTGTTACAGTGATACTTTGTAACAGCTGCAGATGTTCGGCCTAAAACTGCTCCATGTGTTCAAACAAATAATAGCCATCATTTTCTCCTATTTTATTTGAGCGGAAATACAATCTGAAACATTTAAATTTTCCCCCCCACAAAGCTAGAAGGATATGTATATATGCATATAATTTTCCCTTTTGCCTATTTTTGCTCTACACTCACCACCACAATCAATAAAGAAAACATGCTCCACTCCTAACTTAACAGGCACTTGCCTGGGGGTCAGGCTGTGGAAACACCAATATTAAAATTTGTGCCTTGTTTTAAAATTCAGTTTCTGCAGTTTCAGGCTGGTTGCCTTCGTTAAGGGAACAAACAAAGAGTGCCCAAACTGCGTTTATTTCTCTGCTGTTTCACACATAGTTTGAGATCAACCGCTAACAGCAGACTGTAAATTTCGGCACTTAACAGTTGCTAATTTTCTTTATAGTCTGTACATCTATAAACCTAATTGGCATATCCGCTTGGCAAACGTATACCCCCAGAGCAGACCTTGAACGAAACCCAACTCGGGCGAGCAAAATACTCCTTGTAACTTTTAAGGCATTCAGAGATAAAACGTTTTCCGTGGGGTATTTTTTTAAGCCTTATAAAAGTAGGCTTATTAGGATTAAACCACATTAAAGCCAGCGCTAGGCGAGGGGGGTGTGGTTTATAGAAACTCTGGGAGCAAGACCCGCACAGCTTTTTTCTGCTGGGAACATATGTTGGGGGGGGGAGGGGGGAGTTACAGGACTAAAATTTACTTTGGAAAATAAGACCGCTAGTAAAGATACCCTTTTCCTTCTCATCTTACACCAGACACTTGAACCAGCACCCTCAGCCTGTGTCCCCAAGTCACCTCTCCAACCCCAGGCATACTTCCTCCCTGGGCCCTCGACCTCGCAGTTGGGTACCTGAACTCGGGCCTCCGACAGCCCCAGCCGCTGGCTCAGCTCCTCTCGCATGAAGGCATCCGGGTAGTGGGTCTCATCAAAAAGCCTCTCCAGCTCGTTGAGTTGTTCCAGGGTGAAATTGGTTCGACTTCGCCTCTGCTTGATTTTGGTCTGGCCTTCGTCCTCCATCCCTTTCGCATCCTCTTTGCGATCCTTCAGCTCCGGGGACACTGAAGGAGGCACCACGGACGGGCCACACGTGCGTCCACGCACACACCAACGCGCGCGCGCGCACACACACACACCGACACACACACGGACAAAAACAGAACAGCAAATCCCGTTACCAGATTTGTCTCAAATAAGGATAGAAAATCCTTCTTTCTCCCCTCGAAATCTTGGTTCCAGTCCTCACACCGCCCAGAGGAAGAAGATCCTGGACTCGCGCATAGGTCAAGTCTGGGTGGCCGCCGGGCGCAATCTCGGCATTCACCCATCCGCCTCCTCCGCAACTGCGGCCTCAGCTCACCACCTCTCTCTCTCTCCCACGGCCCCTGCCCTCCCCAGCACACACCGAAGGCTTTCCATTCACCCTCTCTCGCGCTCACTGTCTCCCAAGCACTCACAGATATCAAAAGCGCCCCGCCGGGCCTCTCACAGAGCGCGTTCTGGGCAGCAGGGCGCGGCAAGGCCACCCACAGGCCTCTCATATCGGCCATTCCTGGAGGGCTGGCCTTTTCTCAGGCCAGCTCTCACCGCCACTGGCTTTCTGCCTTCCGCAAACTTGCTGGTCTCATTTAGGAACAATTGGACGGAAAGGTAGCACTGGGAGAACAAGATCCCAGTGCTGTGTGCCGAAGGGAGCCGTATCCCCCGGCGCCCCGCGTTGCTCCGGAGCTCGGGCCAAACCCTGACGACCGTCTGGTGGGCAGCCAGGTGGTCTGCGTCCTCCCTGCCAGACCAGGGTCGCAGGAGCACAGGCGCCCACGCCATGTTGGCGGCAGAAAGGGTTAGCCGCCCACGCCGGGCCAGAAGGCAGCTAGCAGAACAGCAGCCTCCCGTGACCCGCGAAACCGACTGCTGCCTCCGTCTCTCCTTCTCCCTGGTCCATGGAATCGAAGACCCGACCCTAAACGCTTAACCCACACAGATCAACAGGTTCAAGCGAAACATTCGCGATCCTCCGTTTCTATTGGTTGCTCACAACCTTTTCATGCATCTACCGGCTCCGATGTTTAATAAAATATGCATTTTTCTGCTCTGGATTTGCACAAATCCGTTCCTACTTTCCTTTCCTGTTCTCTTTAAAAAACCAGAGCCCTGCTAGAGTGACTATACAGAGCAAGCCTAGCTGTGTGCGTGTGTGTACAGCCGAGGGGAAGTGATCGGGGCAGCCACCATCAACGTAAGATTCCCCGGGAACCTTTAATTCTTTGCACCCAAGTCAGAGACTCGGGGTTTTTAAGGTGTCAAAACTGAGTTTAGATAGTCGAGGCTGTTTACAGCTCTTCCCAGCGCAAGATCTAGATCAACATGGGTGTTAAAAATCATTTTCTGGGAAGATCTGGTCTGCAGAGAAATTCATACTTGCCCAGAGCTCGGAAATTCACAATTCCAGGATCTGAGTGCGCCTGGGGTTCAGATCTCAATTTAGCTGTCAGGCATATTGGCGAACCCAGGGTCTGGGCTGTGGGTTCACGCGAGGGAGGCTGCACTGAACCCCCTGACAGTTATTCCATCACTTTCCAAATTTAGGAGGACCTGGTGCTGAGTCCTGGAAGGAAGAGTTGCTAGATCTCAGCCCAGCCGGGCATTCTAGCTACGGTGATCTTAAGTGTTGCTGGCATTTCTAGTTCTCCGAGTTCGTTTGTGAACATTTGTCCCTCCTTCGGGAAGAAGGTGGATTACATTATAACAAACATCAGAGGTAAATTTAATAGAAATATATTTCCTGTGATATTGTAGTGAAATTGAAATATGAAAACACACCCTTCAGATTCTGTCAAAGGGGTGAGATAGTTTTGTCTATTACTTGTCATCCCCACCGTGGATGACCCTCAAAGTTTTGAGACTTCAAAGAGAAACATGTCCAAATATCAAGTTGATTAATAGACTTAATATAATCTCTGTTTCGTTCCCAAATTTCCACTTAATGGTCTAAACAGGAACAGACCGTGTTATAAACAACTTAATTGCTTGCTTAAATATGTGATTCTACGCATGCCACATATTTTCTTAATTGGAAAAATATGGCAGTACACCAGTTACTGCAGGCACCAAGTGACAAATTCATTTTATTGTTGAACTCCTTTGAATTGGTACAGGACACTCTACCATTTAGAAAAAGCCGTTTCCTAACTCTTTGCTGGCACCAAAAGATTTTTCCTCTAGAAGACCAGAGTGCTTCCAAACAGTAAATATCGAAAAACATACCACTAAAAAGAAATGTAACCACCTTGCCAGAGAGAAGCTCCGTAGCCTGGACCTTAGTGTGCCTTGGCTTCGTTTTGCCTCCATTGCTCAAAGAGAAAGGGAAGTTTTGGCCCCTGAGATGCAAAGATTCCGGGTCTTTGTGAAGTTGGAGGGGTCCTGATGGCCCCACACCCGGGGGCAACCTGAGGGTGAAGCTTGCCTCTCACTCCCTCTCCCCTTCTCTCTCAGGCCTAGGGAAACTCGCGCTAGATGCGATCCTTCCTCGGCCGCCCGGTCCCGCACCCCTCCCGTAGCCCGGCCCGAGAACTTCCCCGTCCGCCTGCGGGCCATCCCGGGTGCGGGCCCACCCTCCGGCTGGGGAAAAATGCATTTTGGTGGGATGGGGACATCTGGGAAGGGAGCGCACGAACCCCACAATCTCTCACCCCCCCAACACGAGGACCCCACCCACGACCGAGCACACCGCTGGACACCTACCCTCCACTATCACTCTAGCTTCCAAAGCCGGGGTCTAGGGCCCTGTCCGCGTCCCGCCCTCCTCCCCGCTGGGCCTCAGGAAGGCGGGAAGGGGAACCGCGGCCGGGGGTCAGGCCGTTACCCTCCGTGAGCCGCGGGCTGCCCGGCTCCCGGCTTCTCTCGGCAGCGCCCATGTCCAGCTCCCGGACGGGAGAGCGCCCTCCTCCAGCTCCTCCGCCCGCTCCTCCTCCGGCACCTCCTCCGCCGCCCCCGCCTCCGCCTCCTCCGCCGCCGCCTCCGCCGGCCGCCCGGACTGCCGGGCTGCTGCGGTCGTCGCGGCCCGGCTCGGCGCAGCCGCTCGGCTCCTTGGCCCCGCGCAGCGGCCCGCTCTCCAGCACCTCCCGGTACGTGATCGCTTCCTTCTTCTCCTTCACTTTCTGGTCAAAAGACTTGGAGACGAACGCCGTAAGTTCTTCCATCGCTGCCGCCGCCCGTCAGCCCCGCGCTCAACCTCTCCCAGCCGAGCCCCGCTCTTTTTTCCTTCTTCTTTTTTTACTGCTCCAGCCCCCCCAATAATAACACATCAATGGGGCAGGAGGTGGGGGAGGAGAGGAAGGAGGAGGAGGAAGAAGAGGAAGAAAAAGAGGAGAAGAAAGAAGAAAGAGGAGAAGTAGAAGGAGAAAAAAGAAGTAAGAAGAGGAGGAGGAGAAGGAGGAAGAGGAGGAGGGGGAGGAGGAAGAGGAGGAGGAGAAGGAGGAGGAGGAGAGGAGGGGCGGGAGCCGCCGGAGGGAAATGGGAACTGATGCTTCCCTGCCGGAGCGCGCTTGTTCAATGTTAAGATCTTTGACAATTCTTCCTGCGGAGAGTTCAGATCTGATAGCGACGCTGCGCTTGAAGTCTCACTATTTATACTTCCTAAAGGCGGCCCCTTGTTCTGAGTAAATTACCTCCCCTCGCAACTCCTAGCTAGCCCCCTTCCCGGGT